AATGTTGGTATGCTTTAGTTCTTGTTCTGTGTGACAAGTAAGACCATATGGATACGTAGTGGTATTTTTCAGTTGTATCTAAAAGAGTAAGTTCTGTTCCTCATTATATTGCTGGAGGCTCAAGGACGTATCAAAATGCACTGTAAGCTTAATACATCGCCCTTATATTAAGGGTAGCAAAGCCAAACCACTTTTAGGTGATCTGAGCTTCAGGACTGTCTGATAAAATTCTTCTTTCCATTCTTTTTGGTTTTTGTAATCATGCTCCACTTGTCCATAGTACTTTCCAGAAATAAAGTTAGAAAATTATAGTATTTCTAATGTGTCAGTGAAGGCAAGATTTTTTCAAGAATTCTTTATATGAGATGCAGATCATTAACGGCCACATCAAACCTTTTGTGCAGTCCACAACACAAAAAGACATTTTTTCTTTCATGGGATTTGTAGCCCATATGGTTTCTGTCCGCTAGGTTTAGAAGTTGTCTGTGTGTTATAAGTTTATTTTTACAATGCATTCTTGACTAAATTTAAATTGGTGTTCCTAGGTCACTGTGACTAACCTGAAGTCTTAGGTGAGAACAAATTTCTTGCTGTTAATTTTCAAATAAATTCAAATGCAAAAAAACCCTTCTGTTAGATCAGATAGCTCTAATCCGGCTGATGAAGTTGAGTTTTTAAGTGAAACCACGGTACCTTTTATAATAATAAAGCATCATACTGATTTCATTTTGAAGAACATAGGAAACACGAGATGCTAATTCTCAATGGAAGTCACATATTTTCTTTGCTGCTTTGTTTTTATAGGAGTAGTATGAATTCTGTTGGATTTTTTTAGGAAGTTTTTTTTTCTCTAACATAAACATACTGTTTCTTTGTAGGGCGCCAATGCCTCTGCTTTGGAGAAAGAGATTGGTCCTGAACAGTTCCCTGTGAATGAGCATTATTTTGGCTTGGTCAATGTAAGTGAATTTTCTATGGTTGAAATGATGTTTTTTAATTCATATCCTGATTCTGAATTTAACAGGATTTTCTGTTAGAACTTTTTCTATGAACACTTCTAACTTAAATTGGGACTCTGCATGGACACCACATCCTGCAATATGGTGCTATGACTTGTTGTTAACCAAGATAACAAATTTCATCTTAAATACAGAAAATAAGTATATTTATTACAAAGTCTTTGAGAGAAACCTTCCTACTCAGGTACATTTCTAATTATAGGATTTTAATATTTAGCTGGAAAGGACATTAACTAATGAAGTATGTACATTGTTCATATGCTCTTCTAGAGAAGAGAGATTTGATTTTACACTGATGCTGCGGTGTATGGGAGCCTTGAGGTTTTAAAATGAAAATGTGTTACTTTTCTAAAAACATGTTACTCGTGGGATTAGTGGAAGTTCTTCTGTGCGAGGACATAGCCAGGAAACGAATGACATTGACTGGGTCAATAATTTTCTTACGTGTAATAATACACCTTTTTTTATTTTTTGACAGCCTTGTGTAACAGTGAATCCTTCTAAAAAGATATATTTTTTGTGTCTGTCAGTTTGTATAGATCTGACTTGGCTGGGATCTGTTGGGCAATAAGAATTGTCTACCTAAACTAACTGTGGAGAGAATGGAGCATTGATGTCGATCTTGCCAGTGCTTCTGGAGGAGCAAAGCAGCTGTTGCGCCTGTGACATCTTTTACCAATGAATATAGGAAGTTAGTTAATGGAAACAGTCGTTCTGTGGCATCATATTTATGATGTGAAAATACAATTTTGGCAAAACTCACTAGAAACATAAGTATTCTTCTGTTTGCTGGTCATCTAGGTACATTTGTTGCAGACTGAAAGATGATCTATCTTTTGACACATCAAATAAGGTTGACATAGCTACTAAAGTGTTATTAGTTGCAGCTCATTACAAACTCATTTAATGGACTTCTGTGTGGGTTTCTAGCAGTTTGTGTTCTCAAGACACCAAGCTATCTAAACACGTTGAGTTATATTCCTTAAGTATGGTGTTAATGGCCATTCCAAAGCTGCTGAGGTTTGCACCATAATGAGAAAAATGGAAGGCATCTCCAATTGTAACATAAATAGCAGAGTGATGAATAGTGTGAAGAGGAAAAATAGCATTCTAAAAATAACCAGAATTATTATAACCACATCCATTCTCTGTTTTGAAGGACAAAACATGACTAATACTGTTGTGCTTTATTCCTTGCAACCAGTTTCTTTAGAATGATCGTTTTCATCCTGTCGTTCTGCAGAGCTTTTTCCTAAGTTATTTCTAGTTCTTTCATAATCTGAGGTTAATTGGAGCACTTTAAAGAGGGCAGTTTCATGGCTTCAGTATCAATACTAGTAAATGTGTGGTTGCACTGCAAACAGAATCGGGTGTTGAACCCATGGACAATGGAAGCTTTAAATTTTTTTTTTTTTTAATAGTTATTTTCTCTTTGGACCAGTGAGCTGAACCAGCTTGCCTGCAGTCAAACTATTGCTAAAGCCACTGCAGAGTACATGGGAGAAGGGTCTCGCTGCTCCTTCTGACAGCCTGTTAAAATAGGTTACGCGTGATGTTGAACTGAAGTGCAAGAGGGATGGAACAATGTTTTCATTCTAGAATTTCATCTCAGTTTTCATTTAAAAAAGCTTCTATCTTAAAGTAAGCCTTCAAACTTTATTTTTACATTGAAAGTGTAAAATTTTACAAGTTCTTATGAAGTTAGGTAATGTTGACTCTAAATACAGTCAGTTTTAAGCAAAAACCCCTATGTTTTGGCATCTATTTAAAACATTTCTTTATACCAGAGAAACCATGCCAAAAAGATTTTAAAACCTATGTGTTTGTACCTATTTTTCCTTTGTGTTTTAGGTCACATTAGACTTTACACACTATTTGTGTATTTGATCTGTGCATGTAGCTCCAGGTTTGGAAATATTCATGAGCCCATTGAGAACTGCCTTGCCAACCTGGTTTTTGGCGTTCTGTCGAAGACAAATGGTTAGAGCCCTCTCTCTTTTTTTTTCTTTTTTTTTTTTTTTCCCCCAGGCAGAATTTCTAGCGAAGTTAAGGTCACGATTGGAAAGATCTGACTACTTCGTACTTCTAAATGCAAACCGATTGCAATTTAGAGTGTGACGCTGCTATGTAATGCTGTTTATTTGCGGAGAACTCTCTCTAATACAGAGAAGGGTAGATCAATAATTGAGATATTCAGAAGTTTCCCAAGGCCCTGAATCGCTCAAAGTTGGAAGGATTTTCTTCTAACATGGGAAAAAAGTCAGAACTGCTGAAATAAAATGCATCACGTGGTCTTTTTGTAAAGTACTTGGCATGCAGTAAAATATCTAAAATGCTGACACGCAAGATAGCGGTTTCAGGAATAAAAGTTCTTCCATATTACTTTATGTAAAGGTGGTAGCAAACAAAGAGAGTTGAAATACTATTTAGAAGGACATTTTTAAGTGTCCTAAAGCATGCCATAAAGTGCATTTTTTACTGTATCACTTTGACTACTGCAAAGCATCTTGCATCTTACCATCAGGAATTTTTAAAGCTATTTGGATGGAAATTTAATTCTTTAACTCCTTTAACTCTTCCATTTAGCTTGGTTCTAATAATTTCTCTCTGTATGGGTAGCATCAAAGCAGGACATGTATAACCAGTTGACTTGATGCTTTTTGACATGATTTCTCCAGGAATACAGTCCTGAAATCTCATTAACTACTTGCTCTGTAAACTTTTTTGACTTGAGATGCACCATGACCTTCCTTTTTTTTTTTTTTAAGGTGTCTAATTTCTAGTTTCTTCTGTCTCTTAATTTTCTGGGATTATTATAGACAAATATATTAGATACCTCATCTGAAACAATAATATTTAATTAGACTTTTGGTAGTTCTCTTGCCTATTTTGTCTTGTATGCAAATTTAGTTAGCATGATGCTTATTTGTTTTCTTAGGTCACTAACAAGCATATGAGTTAGATTCTCTGCTAATTCACGTGTTCAGTTTGTGTATTTGTTTTCTTCATGTCAGTAAGTTTTTAACTGTTGTTCCGTGTTGTTTGCATCTAGTATAAATTAATGTTAGTATAACTATAATTCTGTAACCTTTTCAGCTGTATGAATTAAACTGTTAATTTTCTGTTTCAGTCAGCAAACTGATTATTAACTTGAAATCATTCAGCTACAGTAATCACACCAAATTTTGGTGAACAGTAGTGGCCATATTCTCTGGGTGCTACTTAACAAAAAAGTCTGTGTTCTGTAGTCAGATTTGTATGCTTGTTTTGTTTATTTAAAATATTTTGCTCTCGATGCTCAAGATGCAGAATCTCATTACCAGATTATTGGGGACTGGCAAGCCCAGAATTTGTTTCACTTTTTTGAAGCAACAGTGTTGTACAATACAGTTGCACAATAAATTGCAAAGAAGCAACTCAAAAAAACCATGGTGTATTTCTTGTGGATGATATGCTAGTATCTCAGCGGTCTGAGTGTTTCTTCTTGTTAAGCAATGTGGAACACTGCCTCTGGAAGTTATCGCCGTCCTCCTTTCTCTAAAATAACACTGCCATATCTCAGATGTAAAACAGCTGCTCTTTGAATTTGCCTGCATCATGTACTCCTCATAATATTTCATTATAAACAGGAAATATTTAACATATACCTTGCTAACTATCTCTAAAAAGTACTTTGTGTATCTGACACAGGCAAATCTAACATATGAATTAATGCATTGAGCTCTTGTTACTATAATACAGTTGAGAGCAGCGATGCTGACGGGTGCTGCCTCTTTGTCTGTTTTCTTGTCCCTCTGTTCTGCTGTATCATTGGCACCCCTCCACACCAGTATCAGCAGGATCTCCCCTATCAGGATTAGTAGCATGCTGTGTCTCCAGAAGTTTTGATTTTGTGAGGAGCCCTCAGTTGGATTTTTTTCTTGTCAGTGGTTTCCTGCTTTTTTTGTGTGTGTGCCCAGTGTCACTGTGAACTGTTGTCTTCTCTTCCTTTTCTTGCTGTTACCAGCTGTGATGATACAAGGATGAGTCTTTTACACCATGCCTACTAGTATTTCCCCTGTAAATGAACTCTGACAGACGACTTTCCCATTTTCAGTATGTGACGTTCTTAATGAGCAACCTCTTTTATTACTTTTTAACAGGCCTAATATGAAAACGTTTGTTTTCCTTTTGTTCTGTTTTAACCAGTTCGGCAATACCTGCTACTGCAACTCAGTCTTACAGGCACTTTATTTTTGTCGTCCATTTCGGGAAAAAGTTTTGGCATACAAAGTGCAGCCTCGAAAGAAGGAAAGCCTCCTGACATGCCTCTCTGATCTCTTCAACAGTATTGCTACGCAAAAGAAGAAGGTGGGAGTCATCCCACCCAAGAAATTTATTTCCCGATTGAGGAAAGAAAATGGTAAATGAATAAATGAAATTTTAATGCAGATTTAAGCATTGGAGATTTAAGCATATAAAACATAAACACAACTTCCTTTTTAAGTGAGTCCAAATTGTCAAGTTTTAACAGATTTCTCAAAGATTTTTGAACTCCTGTTTGTGGTATGAATTTCACCACCTCTGTAGCGTAGGAACAGAGACTGTGTTGTGTTGTAAGAGGATTATCTAGTTATCGTTTGTTTCTGTGCTTGCTTAGACCAAGTACAGAGCATGTACACAAGTCTCAGTACTCCAGTTACTCCACATTGGCATCATGTTCTGTAGAGGTCTGCTGCAAGTCAGCACACTTTGGGTCGTTGCTAGAAATTGGCATGGGCTAAAGAGACCTCACGGAGTTGGTCAAAGTTAAAGTCTCTAAGGAAACTTAACCACCCTTAGCCTCCTTTCTTACATTTGCAGTAGGATAAATTCCTTATGATGAGAACTAGTGGTTATTTCCTAGGGCTTCTTTGTGAGGAAGAGTTCTATATGTTGATTTATCATCTCTGCTTGAACTTGAAAAGATAACAAACTTATAGTAGGGGATTTTTGCCCCTTGATGCTGGACTTAATGAACTAATGGCTGAAGGCAACACATCTGAATGCCTTTATTTCTCTCCCTCCCCAAAGTAAAAAAAACCAAAACAACCAAAAATCCCTAAAAACCAATCATGGTTTTCTTCAGTTCCAAGAAATGCCCAAACTAAGTTTCCTTTATGTTATTTTTCAGCTGCCTGTTTCTTGCAGCCTGAGGAATAGGTGAGGGTAACCTAGCATCCGTTGCGAGAACAAAGTACAATTCTTCAAAGACTCTTACCAGTGTAACCCACAATTGTATAACAGGGTAGAGAAGGGGGAAGGGCACACACCAATTGCTAAAAGCATAGTAGCTTGATATTACGAAGTATCTGTATTTTTTCATTCTCCTTGATCTCTTCCTTTCCAGAATTATTTGATAATTACATGCAGCAGGATGCACATGAATTCCTAAACTACCTACTTAACACTATTGCTGACTTACTACAAGAAGAGAAAAAGCAGGAGAAGCAGAATGGCAAACTCCAGAATGGCAGCATTGAGAGTGAAGAAGGAGACAAGACTGATCTGACGTGGGTCCATGAAATCTTCCAAGGAACACTAACCAATGAAACCAGATGTCTTAACTGTGAGGCTGTACGTTTAAAACAAAACAAAACCTCTTAGATTTTTCACAGGTTCTGGATCATTTTCCCTAATACTAAGCACACTTTTTCATTTATTAGGATAGATGAAATTGCACTCTCTCTATTAAAATATGGAGCATAGCCTATTTTATGACTGTATCACCTCTATGTTCAAACCAATACTCATTAAGGTATGTTTATCAGAAAAAGCATAGTGTTTTTTCTGTTCCTCCTCCCTGTTTCCATCGAGGCAGCCTGCACCTGGCTGATATAAGCTGCCTTTTTGTCTTCGTGTTATTTCCTGTGTCAGTGATTGATAGTTTATGTTGTGTTTCTACATGAGAGTTGCTCGCTATTTATTTAACTCTGGGATTATCTGAATTTCTTGAACTGGAAGTCTGTGCTGCTTGGTGCTGGTCCATAGCCACTCTATTTGAGAGCAAAACAAGTGCACAAAATCTAGAATTAGAAGAACCCCACCACCTTCAGACCAGGAATTTGTAGGTAGCCATGTGCTATGTCTGATTTAATATTTCTAAAAAAATGAAAACCCCGATGGAGAGAGGAAAGAAAGAGAAATGATTACAACTGAAATGGCTGTTCTTGGCATTTTAAATCTAAAATTATGGCTATATGGTGAATAGAAGCTCTAAAAAACGACATTAATAAGATTCTGTCTGAAGAATTTTGAAATTAAATGTGACTGTTCCACAAATGGAGAGATGGTTTTCTTAACTGCTAACCCATTTAATTGAAAACCCATCTGCCTGTTTCTGTGTTTCCTATAAGTATTTACTGTTAAACTCTGAAATGCAGCAGAAAGCTGTATCAGTCTACAAAGTAGAGTGGAATACGGTTAAAGCTTCTCCAGCTCCGAGAGTTCCGAGTGGTTAAAAACTTGGTTTTGCCAGTGAATTAAGGAGATGTGTCTTGAAGTCTCAAGGGGGAGAGATGTTTTGCAAGAAAGGGTTTTGGGTTTGGTTTTTTGTGTTTTTTTCTGGGTTTGGGCTTTTTCTTTTTTTTTTAATATTCCTCTCTGGATTGTAACAACACATCAGATTATTTCTTCAATTTTAGTTTACCTCAAGAAAGGGCCTCTGTGTGTATGTATATTTATTTTTTATCACGAAGGTCTCTATTTGCAATAAGGACATTGCACCATTCCAGAAATGGTTAAAAGAAATCTGCCCGTTCTAAACTGTTATGAAATATTTCTTCTTATTTTTTTCAAGGTTAGTAGCAAAGATGAGGACTTTCTGGATCTATCGGTTGATGTGGAACAAAATACATCAATTACACACTGTCTAAGGTAAATGAAAATATTTGTGAATGGAAAAAATACGTGCCCTTGGTCAGAAGGAAAGAGCCTAGCTTAGCTGCTCTATTGTGCAACAGTTGTAGGCTTTTGACTTACGATAAAATATGTTTTGTTCAGAGTGCTGTTCATTTTATCTTTATCGTGGCCTTTTGAAGCTGCCACAGGAACCTATCTTAGTGGGTTTTAGTAGTTAATGAGTATGATGATTTCTTAGTGGTATGTAAGATTGATTTTCACTTTCTTTTATGGGGATTTTAATTTGTTGTGACATATAGTCAGGTTTTATCAAAACTAAACATGGTATGTTTGGTTTGCTAATAAATTCTTGTTTATTTTAATATTGTTATTGCATTTCAGTTGTCTGGTCCTGATGTTTGTGGTCAGGCTTTGGGGTTTTTTTGCTGACAGAAATTTGCTCTGTGTATTTGACTGCTAGATCCAAGGCTTATCAGCTGCTAGGATACTGCAAGTTGCATATAGCAGCTGCCTTTTTAATAGCTGATAACGGATATGTAATTGCTAGGAGTTGAAAGATTACCCAGACTTTGGCTAGGCAATGGCTAATGGCTATAGGTCTTAATGTTTACTGTCTGCCACCAAAGAAAACACGGAGTGGCTACTTCTGGACACAAACCACAATCACCTTACTGCTGTTTATTACCTATCGTGTTTGACTCCTGCCCAGAAAGTATGCAGTTAATGCTTGAGGGTGTAATTTCCAGATTTTTCCAGCTGAACATTGATACTACATCCCAAGACTGGGACAAATACGCCTAAAATGTGTCTGGGAGGTACGAGCGATATGAATAAGAGGAATTTCATCTTCTGTGTGTACTGGGTTTTTTCAGCATTATTAGCTTATCTGACTTCTCTTTCATTTCCACAGAGGGTTTAGTAATACTGAAACTCTATGCAGTGAATATAAATACTATTGTGAGCAGTGCCGCAGTAAACAGGAAGCACAGAAGAGGTAAGGTTCAAATATTCAGGCTAATGTAAATGTTCTCTTCAAATGGGCGGCTGTTGGAAAAATACACCTTGTGAATTCAGTAAAAGGAAAACGTAAGACTGTTTAGGTCTGTGTTTGGTGGGGAAGGGAGTAAGGAAAAGTAGAGACGAAGTAACTTTGTGGCAACCTTATCAGAGAGAAATGAAGAGATTAATTTTGTATTCCTCCCAGAAGAACTTCTATCTGGTGCTTCCAGACATTCGCATTTTCCCCAGTTAGCATTAATCAGCTTAAAGCCACTGAAAACCATCCCATCTGCTTTCACTATGAATACTGTATACAAAAATCTTATTTCTCACCTCATACTTGGTCACAGCCAGAGCAGCAAGACAGATTTATTCCATCTATTTCTTCCCATTGATGTGAGAAAAAAATCGATGTTTTCGACATAGACAGTTGTCCTGCATTCAGATGTCAGTTGTGTAGTTAATCTTTCAGAATAAATATTGCCTATTCTCACTGGGATATACATGAGAAAAGCAGCCTTTTGAACATCTTCATCAACATTTTAGATGCCTTTTAAGAAGCTTCTTCATATTGAAACTGTTCTTGAACAAAGCTTTGTTTTAGGTGATCTGCTAATACCTTGTTCTTTGTTTAACATATTTTTGTGGTTCAGAATGAGAGTGAAAAAGTTGCCCATGATTCTAGCTCTGCACTTAAAAAGGTTCAAATACATGGACCAGCTGCATCGATACACCAAACTCTCCTACCGTGTAGTCTTTCCCTTGGAGCTCCGGCTCTTTAACACTTCAGGAGATGCTACAAATCCTGACAGAATGTATGACCTTGTGGCTGTAGTTGTTCACTGCGGCAGGTATGTTGGTTTTGTGCTTTCTGGACCTTAAATGCCTTTTCTTGAAATCTAAAAGAAGTCTGTCATCTGTATGCCATTTTATAACAGTACAGTGGCTGACAATATGGGAGCAAGCTAAGCAGCCTCAGAGCTAGTTGTCCAAAAGTATTTTTTTAAAAAATAAAGTGTTTCAGTCTTTTTTAAAACAGTAAAAAGTAGTAAAATTTTGCTTTCTGAGTACACAGGTTTGCTCTTTTATCAGCTTTCAAATACGGCAGCAATTCAGACAAGTTGTTTCTTTGAGCTGTAGCAAAGTAAGAGCAGTCTTTAAAAACAAAAAGACACCCCCCCCCCAACCCTACCTTCTAGGAAAAAATAAAAACAAATCTTGGAAAAACACTTACTAAATTAGAATTAAGTTACAGCTCTCACTTGCTAAACGATTGGAGATTTTTAAGAAACTAGTGCCACCTCGTGGAATAAACTGTGTACTGCTGATTTGTTAAAATATCCTTATTCTCCTTACTAAATTTTTGTTGTTGTTGTAGTGGTTTTAATTCTGTTTTTAAAAGCAAAGAGGGAAAATTTTTAAGCCCTTTTAGGAAAAAAGCAGTCATGGAAGGCAAAAATATATTTATAACTGCCTACTGGAAGTGTGAGTTTTAAAGTAATAAGTTATTACAGCACACAAATGTTTTGAAACATCTTTGTGAGGAGCAAGACAATATAATCAACACGCTAATATTGCATAGATTTAGTATAAATAAACTACATCTAATTCTAGATTATTTCTGTTGTGGTACAGTTGTGCTATTTTTTTAATTTTTTTTTTAATTTTTATTTATTTATTTTTATCATTTTAAGATCTCATCCTATGCATTTTCTTTTGTAGATTCTTAACTTGCTATACCTAATATATATATATTAGTAATTCAGATGTATTAAATGGCTTTGCTTTTTCTTCTCAAACCTGTTGTCTTATATGGGGCTTTTAGGAGTCCTGTGACTTTTCTGCTTTCAATTCTTACTAGGAACTTACCAAAGGCTTAAGATAAACTATGTTTTCTAAATATTTGAGTTTTCCAAATATTTGACTTCTCAGAACTTGTTTTAAATATTTTGCCCTTACAGTTTTATTTTCATTTAGTTGCTCTAAACAAAGAAGTTTCATTCTGTGACAGGTTGTGTGTTTACATTTATCAGTAGTTCTGCAAGGACTAGAGAAGTACTTTCTTTTGCCTAAAGCTGATAGGAATATAGGTTGTTTTAAAGCCTTATGTAGATGCTAAGTAAAAAGTAAAGCCAGAGGGGGAAATTTTTTTTTTTTTACTGTGTCCCTGGACTGTTCTCTCAGAAATTGAGGTTAGTAGATTGATAGCTCGTAGTTTTCCATCCATATAGTTTATTATCCCAAACCGCTACCTTTTCAGGGCAATCTGCCTGCCTTTACTCTGCAGATCCATCTCCCTTTGAGTTAGGTCATTTTGTTGTCCATTCCCTTCAAGGTAAGCATTCGGGATATCGGTGATAGAAACGGACTGGGAAACTGCCACCGGAAAACTGGGAACAGCAGTTGCAGAAAGCCTCTCTGCAGTCAGCCGTAGGCTAAACCGCACTAAGAATTAAAGAAGTATCTCCTGCGCAAATAAAATATTTCAGACAGACGGTTATTAAAATTTTTGACCAGTGGTCAAAATACTCAGCAGTGGTGAATGCGACAAAACAGTGATTGAAATAACTGGCTTTTAATTTTGTTTTTTGAAATACATGAACGACTATCTAAAATATTTACGAAATTGTGTATTTTGAATATATTGTATTTGGCAAGTAGCAAAGACAGAAATTTTAATTCAAGCAATCTGGCAAAGTCTAAGAACCTAAACAACGTTATGAGTAGCATTAGACAACATGAAGAGCCGGGAAATCTGACTCTGCCAGTAATAGCTAGAGTCATGTGGGAGAGCAGCGGTCCTGCCTTTGTAGGCACAAGAGTAATACGTCTTCAATCCTTTTTTCTGGCAGTGGTCCAAATCGTGGACATTATATCACCATTGTGAAGAGCCATGGCTTTTGGTTGCTGTTTGATGATGACATTGTAGAGGTAGGTATGCTTTTACATGGTGAAAACGAGTGTAGACAGCATCACTCTCCGGCTCTGTTTCTATGTCCGGGATTAGCTTTTGCACCTGTGAAAGTATTTCAGCAAAACATGCACACAGAATAATTCTGGATGTTTTGAAAGTAAACGTCAGCATTTTTGTGCATCTTTGTTATAGAAGTAGTGTGGAGAAGGGCAAACCAACACGAGGGCTGTATGGACACCTCAGACGTGGGGTGGCGTGCGCCTGTTCGGGCTGAAATACCACAATTGTCTTATTCAAGATCTGAAATGCTCTTATTTCAGCCCACCTTTTGGGCTCCTTTTTGTTGCTAACTCGCTTTGTGCTAGTTGCATTTCATTGCTGCATTTAAGAACTTCTAACCTGTTTTTGTAGGCAGTTTTCCCCAACAAACTGAAGTGCAGAAAAACTGTGAAAAAAGATTTGGGAGACTGTAGTAAGGTTCTGAGGGTATACCAAGATGTTTGGCCTATTGGCAACAAAGTTTAAACAGCCTGCTCAAGCAAATTTTTCCTTAACTTTTCCAGTAACATGTCTGTAAAGACTAATGTCCAGAATATTTCTATATCCATGTATTTCACATAATTATTAAGCAAATATCAAACAGTAGAACAAATACCACAAGTAGAACTGCTTTTTGTAAAGATGAAAATGTACTGTTTGCCTCCGAGATCTCACGGTCAAGGTTAAGGCCTGATGCTAAGTGTCTAAATAGGCGCAGCAAAATCCTTGCTTGTGTTGATATAAAGAAGATGTAGTACATTCTCCAATTTTTTTTTTTAAATCTTTGCTTAACTTTGAGCATCGGGGTGACTTTCTGGTGATTTGGATTGCTTATATGACTATGAACAGTTGCCTTTCTCCCATTATTGTATTTTGAGGGTTATTTTCCTCTGTTTCTGTCATGGCTGAAGCATGTAATTGTGTCAGCTAATTTTGGAAATAGTGTTCAGTTCAATATTTTTAAATGCGAGTATTCATTGTCTTTTCCATCCAGGAGATAAACTTTACATTTTGAAAGTAGATGTAAAATAACCATCTTCTTGTTCTATCTTTGTTTTCTATCAGTCACTTTTATCTTGTATCTTAGTTTTTAGGTCAAAATGGAATTTCTTTTTATCTGCAAACACTGTTGGCACTTCTATAGATGTGCCAAAACTTAGCTTTTAAATATGTGCTGTCTGTTATTGGACAATAAATTCAAGGAGCTGTCACAAGTAAGCTAGAATGTAGTTCCTCTCTCATGGAGGGATGCTTTTTTCTTCCCTTTAAGTTGCTTTTCTAACTTTAATCATGGCTTTCTTTTTTTAAGTTCATCTTCTTTTACAGAGTTCATCTAAAATGCTGTAAAAATAAAGCTCTTTGATCTGAAATTTCTACTTTTTGTGTTTTCCATGGCTCTTTGAGTTTTCACTGTCTTGATTAGGACTGGCGATGTAGCTCCATCCTGTAGCACTACCTCTGCCCCCAGCTGCGGATCCGGAAGTTTAAGATCCCTTTTCCTGCTGGAAGACTCTCCCTGGCTGGCGTTTGCATGTGTTACTTGTTTTCTGTGAAATTTAGGCTTTGTTTTCCCTGCCGGTGGAGGGCATGAAAAATTGCACATGCGTTTTGCACGTGAGTCATTTGAGATCATTGGCCCTTTCTGATGAACAGTTGCTCCTTGACCTGCTTTGCAGAG